AGAAATAATATAAGTAAGTATTATTATATCAAGTAAGATTATTATAGGTCAATGTCATATATTAATAATTATTCTTACGTCAATAATTATATAATGTTACATATCCAATTGTCATTAATTTCTTTCTATTTTTACATCAAATTTATTAATTAATTAAATACATAAGTCAAATTTTATAAAAAATAATATCAAAAACATTATTTTTTTAAACATTAGAATCTTGTAATTACGTAATTAATCATATTCTTAAATTATAATTCATAATTACTCGTATGTAGGTCGTTGTCGTTTAAGAACTCTTCTACAGAATAATAACATTTATGGAGCAACAATGCCAAAACGGATTTCTTAAGGCGGTGGTCTCCTATAAACACCATCGGTCGCTTACAGCGTCACGCCATTGCAGCGTAAAATTCGTTATTTCGAACCATTGCAGCGTAAAATTCGTGTCTAGTCAGTACAAAACGTCAGTACAAAATGACAAAATTTAATAAAGAAAAATACGAGTTATTACTTTATTATTATATTTAAATTGTTCCTGATTAATACGAAAATATTCAGTAAATTTAGAATTGCTGTCTTTTAAGTGTTTCATTATCAATAGCTGGAAATATCATTTTTTATTTCTCTTCATAAACAATCGGTGCTTTGTTGCCTTTATTTTTCTTCGTATACGGTCGTCTTGTCAAAAGTATTGAATTTATATCCATTTTATGTACAAATATAACACAGGACCACACGTGAGCACTATCGGGTCCTTAAAACTGTTGTTTGATCGAAAGTCTAGACGTCGTCCGTTGCTAAGATATGTTGACCGCTGACGCTATGCCTGGCGTTCAGACGCCGATCATTTAATAGGAGACCGTAACCTAAATGACAAACTTTTACGCTTTAAATTATCAGGTAATTTATTATAAATTCTAATCGACATTGCAGAAGCATTTCTTTTTGTAACTTGTAGACGATTTGCTGGCGCATATAACCTATTCTTGTATCTACCCTTACTTTCACTCACATCACACTTACATTGAAATAAATGTGGATGCTTATGAACAAACATGCACATTTCAAATATGTATAATGAAGGCAAAGGCAGGATCTTTTTAGTTTTGTACAAAGGTTTGCAACTCACTAAAGGACCAACACCACAAAGAGCTCTTATGCGGCGTTTTTGTGCTTTTTTTTTTTTATAGAAGAGGGGGCAAACGAGCATGTGGCTCACCTGATGTTAAGTGACTACCGCCGCCCATGATCAACCGCAACACCAGGGGAATTGCAGGTGCGTTGCCGGCCCTTTAGAAAGGAGTAAGCTCTTTTCTTGAAGGTCCCCAGGTCGTATCGGTCCGGAAAAATCACCGGTGGTAAATTATGCCACAGAGAGGTTGTACGCGGAAGAAAACTCCTTTTGAAACGTACAGTGGTGGACCGCCAAGCATCCAGATGGTGTGGATGGTATCGGGACGTTTGCCGTGTAGTGCGTTCACGAAATTTGGCGGCTGGGATTAATCCGAACAATTCCTCAGAGCACTCACCGTGATAGATGCGATAAAATACGCAAAGAGATGCAACATCTCTTCGCAGCGCCAGTGAATCGAGCCGATCGGAAAGCACTCGGTCGTCGACGATTCGAGCCGCTCTGCGCTGGATGCGGTCAAGTGGAAGGAGCTGGTACTGGGGAGCCCCAGCCCAGAGATGGGAACAGTATTCCATGAGCGGCCGAACCTGCGCCTTGTAAAGTTGCAGGCGGTGTGCCGGCATGAAATACTGTCCCGCTCTGCTGAGCACGCCAAGCTTTTTAGAGGCCAATTTGGCCTTCCCTTCCAAGTGACCACGAAACTGCACGTCACTCGATATGTCGACGCCGAGGATTCCGATACTGGCTGAGGCAACAAGGGGAGTGCCTTGAAACTGAGGGGATACGACAAAGGGGTTCTTTTTAGCGGTTAACGCGCAAACTTGTGTCTTCTGGGGGTTAAACTGGACTAGATTTAGTCGCCCCCAATCCAAAAAAAAATCCAGCCAAATACAGGCCAATTAGTTGCCTCCAAAATATTTATAAGATCATTACGTCTTGTCTTAGCCAATTAATTTACAAGCACGCTATCTCTCATAATATATTAGCAGAACAACAGAAAGGATGCAGAAAAGCTAGTCTAGGTTGTAAAGAACAGTTGAAAATTGACGCAATCGTCTCTAAACAAGCAGTCACCAAAACAAGAAATATTTTCACCATGTTAATTGACTACAAAAAAGCATTTGACTCAGTACCCCATAGTTGGCTAATATACATTTTAGAACATTATAAAATTCATTACAAAATTAGAGAACTCTTGAAAAATACAATGCTTCATTGGAGAACTACTCTCAAGCTATACAATGGTGACTCCTGTTTAGAGACTGATACAATAACAATCCGAAGGGGAATTTTTCAAGGTGACGCCTTAAGCACCCTCTGGTTCTGCCTGGCTTTAAATCCTTTATCTAACCTTCTCAATAGAAATGACAAGGGGTATAAAATTACTAATGGAAATACACATCATACACTATCACATTTACTTTATATGGATGACATAAAATTGTATGGGAGTAGTTTAAAAGATTTACTTACTCATGCTGACATAACGGAAAGCTTCTCAACTGATATTCAAATGGAATTTGGAATAAATAAATGTAGGATACAATCAATTCGTAGAGGCAAAGTAGAAGAAAATTCATATACTCTCCAGACAGGTGAAACCATTGAACCTGTAGATGAAAACGCTGGTTGTAAATATTTAGGATTTACTTTTTTTTTTATAGAATAGGGTGATAAACGAGCACACAGTCCACCTGATGGTAAGTAGTTGCTGCGGCCCATAGACATCTACATCTATCCTCCATTAAAAATCAAAATGCAGATGCGTTGTCACCCGTGAGGACTGAGACGGAATGCCTCGTTTCCAGTAAAAAGGGTATCCGGTTCTCTACACTCACCATACGAAATACAGCAGCATTAAGCTACTATTTCACGCTGGTATTCTGTGAGAGCGTGGTCCTTCCCCGGTCGAGCCGACCCATTCGTGCTACAACTATACTACTAATATAACTGCAGCATGGCTCTACCACGTAAAGACACTCAGACACGACAGATTCACCAAAAACACGTTAAATAAACATTAGAAAAAGAATTTAAATTACGCCTAAATAGAATACTTAACACACATCTAAATGCACGAAACACCATAAAAACTGTAAACACATTCGCCATCCCAATTTTAACTTATTCATTCGGTATAATTCATTGGTCTAAAAGCAACTTAATAAATCTGCAACGTCTCATCAATAAAACTATGACTAAATACAGAAAACACCACCCTAGATCTTGTAGCGAACGACTCACATTACCTAAAGTAGAAGGTGGAAGAGGTGTGATTGATAACAAGCCAATAATAGTCCGCTTCATAATGTTGTTCTTCAAGCCGATACTAAACTTACTCCTTTAAACCTTAAAGATCAAAGAAAACAGAAAAACGAAAGTATTGTCTCTGCACAGGATAAAATTAACAGCTGGTTGCAGAAGACGTTACATGGAAGACACCGCCGTGACTTGATGAACACAAACGTAGACAAGATAGCGTCTAACATGTGGCTCAGGCGCGGAGAACTCTTCCCTGCAACGGAAGGCTTTATGTTAGCAATTCAGGACCAAACTATACACACACTAAACTACAGGAAACATATAATTAAAGACCACAATCTACAATCAGACCTTTGCAGACATTGTCATAATAGTTCAGAAACCATTCAGCACATCACTGGTGCCTGCAGCTCAATAACACAGACCGACTATAAACATAGACACGACCAAGTGACTGCCATCATTCATCAGTATCTAGCATATAAATATAAACTTATAGATGAAAAAATAGCATATTATAAATACAAACCAGAAATCATACTTGACTCTCGCGAATTCAAACTCTACTAAATAAGACCGTGCATTATAATCGACCGGATATTACGCTACATGACAAAACAAACGAATCAGTTTATCTTATAGATATTGCTATGTATACCAAACACTCACAATTTGAGCTCTACCTACAATGAAAAAATAGCCATTACACTGATTTATCCATCGAAATAAAATCCCAGTGAAAAGTAAAAACTGTAAAAACTATACCTATTATAATATCAGCAACTGGCGTCATTCCCCACTCACCCTTTTCTAGCTTAAAGGAACTAGATATCCATAAACTTATCTTTATATCACTACAGAAAGCCACAATATTGAATACTTGCAGAATAGTTCGTAAGTTCCTGTCTAAAAATTAAAACACTTAACCGATTTCGTTTGGCTAACAGCCCGCGAAAAAGGTATAATACCTCGGGAACGAGAGAATACTGAACAATAATAATAATAATAAATAGGCGTTGGGATGTGACGACCCCACCGCCCAGAAGTGAAAGTCAATCTTCTTTATTCTTTAAAGTATTATTGATTTTCACTGCTGCAATCAGTCTGTACCCTTCGCTGAAGAATGTTGTACCGTGTTCGGTGGCAGTTAAGCTTAGGTACTAAAAAATTAAGCTTTTTAGACCAACGGTGTCCTCGGGGAATTGGGCGCTCCCCGTTGTATTAGCCTAACCCTATATGGAGAATGGATCACGGAAATAAGCCATTAAAGCCACTACCCGGGTGTCGCCGGGGCACGTCTGGAGCTAGCGCTGGACGTGGCAGCATGCGAACCGTCAGTGACCGTCAGTTACATCAGCAGGCTGCGGTCAATCAAAATACTACTGCTGACATCCTTGACTCCCCTCCCCCTCCAAACAATCCTTCACCCCCTCTCAGTCATCCCACCAACTTAAGTGTTTCTAGTGGCTCACAACCTATGACCACTAAGGCGGGTCTCCCTCGACAGCGTTTGACGTGGAATGTACAAATGAATGAAGATGTCATGCGCTGTTACTATAAAGCAACCAGATTGGAAGAACATCTGATAGGACATAGGGCCGAGATGTATCGACTATTTGTGATTTGTGAAAGAGTGACAGAACAAAGAGTCATGGACCAGAAACGTCAGATTCTACGTACCTGCAAGATTGCGACGGAAAGGCTGGAGCAACTCAAAACAGAAGTTGCTAAAGAGTTCTATCCTGGTCGCGATGTATCTGAAGATATTAGTGCCCAAGAGCCTACCGCAGATGCTTCATCAGAAATTATTCCGGATTCACTTACTGAAGTAAGCCTTACGAAGAACGAAGGGAACAAATGGTAGAGAATGAAACCTTACGAATCCTTAGAGAAGAATTTGAAAAAGCCTTAATTGAGTTCTTGGGTACTAACCCCTTATTACGACCTACCATTGGGCGCCAATATAATTCAAAAAAACTGGCAGTCACGGTCAATTTGATGAACACTATCATAATTCCTGAACATCTAGCGCAAGTTGAAAATACATTTAACGCAATTCATACGACCATCTATGCGGCAGGTGTAGCGATAGTCCGATCAATTGGCGGGAAAATTGGTGATTCTATAGTGCGGGTTTCTACTCAAAGAAAAACTCCTGCTTGGGAGCGCCGTCTTACCCATTAAGTAGACACACTTCGCCAATTACTGCGTTAGGCGGCCTGCCTAACGCAGTATATGCGTGGCAATAGAATTAAGAAAGTTGTAGACACATATCATGTGCTTCAGAAGGAGATATCTAAGCACACGAAGTATGACCCACCAAACAGAACAGCTGTAGACATCTTAGATACTCTTCGACAAAAACTAGCAGTCAAATCCAACCGACTAAAAAGGTACCGAAAATCGCGGAAGAGAAGAGAAGACAACGCTCTTTTCACAAAAAACGAAAAGCTATTCTATCAGCGACTCCAACAAAGCGTTAATGATACGAGTGGACTTCCTCCGCGGAAGGAGGAAGTTGAGAAATTCTGGCGTAGTATCTGGTCAGAGAAGGTGATCTACAATGAAACCGCAACACGGATCACAAGAGAAGAACAGCGTATGCTTGAGGTCCCAGAAATGCAACATGTGGAAATTACAGAAGAGGATATCACTCAAGCGGTGTACAAATTTTTTTGCTTAAGAAGCTCACTGTTCTACACAAACCAATGGCGGCGTGCTTTACTTCCTTCCTACGCGACCCCCAACTAGTGCCTTCCTATCTAACCGTTGGAATAACATATCTACTTCCCAAAGATGCAAATACATAGGACCTTGCGAAATACCGTCCGATCACATGCCTCAGCACTTTTTATAAAACATTGACCTCTTGCCTCTCTAACAAGATCTACCAACATCTAGACCATCACTCTCTTCTGCGGCAAATCAACGAGAGCTCCAAACGCTGCTTCACTGCACTGAACAGTTCTCTAGTGACATTAATATGTCATTTGGACTTGAAAACTGCAGAACCGTAAATGTTTACCGTAGACGAACTGAGTCATCTAGAGGTTTCGACCTTTAGAGAGGTGGAAAGATCGACGCGATGACAGTACATGACACCTATAAATATCTAGGCATCATCCAATCACTTCAAATCAATCACGGTGAAATTAGGTCGAAGATGATTGATGTATACAATCAAAGGCTTAAAAGAATCCTCAGTTCAGGCCTAAATGGACGCAACCTCACTAAAGCAATTAACACCTTTGCCATCCAAGTATTAACCTACACGTTTGGAGTAGTTAACTGGTCAGATACTGAAGTGGCAAAAATTGAGAGGTCTACTCGCGTCATGCTTACTAAATATCTTATACATCACCCAAAATCAGCAGTTGAGCGAGTAACTCTATCTCGAGCCAATGGCGGTAGAGGACTGATAGATATTCGTAGATTGTGTGCTAAACAGATTCAGAGTCATCGAAGTTATTTTCTTTCGCAAACGTCCTCTGCCGTGCATCAAGCAGTAATGAAGGCTGATGACCGTCTAACAACGCTCGATCTCCTTCATCCCGACAATTTCCCACCGTTAGAGACTGACGCTGAATACAAAGAAGCCAAACTCCAGCAATGGGCCTCAAAACCTCTTCACGGTCGATTCGCTAATGAACTGAGTCAACCACATGTCGACATTGAAGCGTCGAACAACTGGCTCAGACATGGTGAGATCTTTGCTGAAACTGAGGGATTCATGGTGGCGATTCAGGATCAGGCTGTGCCTACGAAAAATTATCTTAAGTACATTGTCAAGACAGGTATCGAAGATGACCAGTGCCGACGGTGTCATCAAAAGCTAGAGACCATCCAGCACATAACTGGCGGCTGCCAGGCTCTTGCTGGAACCGAGTACACCCAGCGCCATGACAACGTGGCAAAAATTGTGCACCAAGAGCTGGCACTAAAATACGGTCTCCTTAAGGAGACAGAACCCTACTGTGCCCAATTAAGCTTATCATCAACAATTATACCGAGACATCGAATTGTGTCAGCTTTACTTAGAGTGGGACACTCACATGCCGAATGAGTGTTAAAGTTTCTATTACAAGGATGCATGTGAATTATTATTTTAAATTCGTTTCGTGGATTGCAAGCAGCGGTTTTTGAAAAACATAGAAATTTTGTTTTAGTGGTGTTTAATGTAAGTATGTCATCTTCCAGCCAACTAGTAACCTTACACAGTCCTTCCTCAGTAGATTTTTTAACAGCATCCCAACTTGGACCATGAAAGAGTAAGACTGTATCACTGAAAAGGGGTATTTAAGTGCCACGAGTCGTTAATGTACGCCAAAAAGAGGGTTGGTCCCAGTGTACTGCCCTGCGGAATTCCATATGAGCAGATGGCAGTGCCACTGAGGCAGTCATCAATGCGTACTTTTTGGTTTCTGTTGGAGAGATAATCAATAAACCAGTCCAATGCTATTCCTCGAATGCCAAAATTCTGAAGACGGGTTATAAGGACAGGAATGGATACTGTATCAAATGCTTTTTGCAAATCTAGGAAAACTCCTAAGCACTTTTTACCTTCATTGAAATATTGTGATATTTAAGTGGTTAAATTAAAAACCGCCTCTTCGGTTGAACGATTTGTTCTAAAGCCATATTGATTTCCAGCAAGGAATTTGTTGTTTTCTAGGTACTTAATTAGTCGCCTATTTACAAGCTTCTCTAGTATCTTAGAAAGTGATGATAATAGAGCTATAGGCCTATAATTTGATGGAGATGATTTATCTCCTGCTTTATATATTAGACAGCTTATAGCTTGTTTAAATTGATCCGGAAAAACAGCAGATAGAAAACTTAAGTTGCATATATGGGCTATGTGAGGTGCTAACAATATGTTAAATTTTTTTTAAAAACCTACAGAAATGTCATCCCATCCTGAAGCACAGTTGGATTTAAGGCTCCTAATTATGAGTCTAACTTCTTCCGGATCTGTTAAAAATAATGACATAGATTGGGCTGGGCCAATTTGATTAGCTTCCCTAGCAAGTTGAAGGTCAGTTTTATTTGATAGATTGCCAATGATTCCAATTGATATAAAGAAATTATTAACTATGTTGAGAGATACTTTTGGTGTTTCAGCAATTTTACTTAATTCGGCGGATGTATTTCTAGGTTGATTTAAATAAGATACGTCTTTTATTAGTTTCTTTTTAGTTCATTTTGATAATACTGCCTTTTTAACGATTTAATAATGTTTGTACATATATTCCTATATTTTATATACTTCTCTTATTTCATCATTTTCGGGTAATTTTTTAAGTCTTTTATGAAGCCTATCTCTCTTTTTAATAGATCTTATTACTCCTGGGGTAATCCATGGTTTTAGTGGCTTGTTTCTTTTTGAAATATTGACAACTTTACTGTTAGTATTAATAACTTTCCTTAGAGTATTAATTAAAATATTTGTCGCTAAATTTACGTTAAATTCATTATATAAATCTACCCAATTTAAATGCATTAAAACTTTGTTTAAGTTATCGAAATCTAATAGTAATTTTTTGTTATTTATATTTCGTTTTTCGAATTCCGCTTGTTCTATGTATAAGAGTATAGGACAGTGATCAGTTAATTCATCAAAAACAATCGTTTTAATTGCCTTCTGTTTTTACCATAAAGTGATCTAAGCACGCGTTTTCCCTCGTGGGTAAATTAACGCATTGCAATAGACCATGAGATAAGAGCATACTTATGTATTCAGATGAGTAACGAGAAAGGTTGCCAGGTAAAATATCCAAATTAATATCCCCTGTGAGAATAATATTTGAACAATCAAGGTTACATAGTATAGCATTAAAGAGTCCAAATAGTTTGTGGGATTATTGAAACAGGGAGGTCTATACGAACAAATTATAGTGTATTCCGAACCGAAGCTTAAGATCAAAAAGTTTCCATCACTTGGAGCAGGTTCGTAGGCATCTACTACAATCTGCTGTTTGACATAAGCAATTACACCATCATTTTGGTTTATTGATTTATTTGTACGGAATACCTTGTAATTTGTAATTGAGGGCACCTCTCTGTCCTCATCTATCCAGCACTCAGTAAGCATAATAGCATCAAGTCTTAAGCAGGTTGTCAATATTCCTATTAACACTTCTGATATTTACTGTTAATATACTTAAGGGATCTTTATTATTTGAATTCTTTATTATTAGAATGGTGCAACACTTAGTGCAGGGTCTTCCACCTTTAAAACATGACGGTTTTAGTAGGCTTTCTAGTTCATCGGTAATAAACATATTATTTATTTCTTTCGTTTTTACTTAAGCGAAATAAATATATATATATATATATATATATATATATATATATATATATATATATATATATATATATATTGACCAGTTTTGGGGTTCGATGATAATAACTGACGTAATTTGTTGCAGTTTATAAGGCAGTATCGATACTCAAACGTCATTTTTAGCCTATACTCTGTTTTAGGTAATAATGCAGTGCTAGAATATAGATACGTGGACAATTTTTTTGAACAGTCGATTTTGGGTACAAAACTAGTTGTAAATAGTATGCTTGTACTGATTATGTTTGTGTGTAGTGTGTTACATGCATGTTTTGATTAAAATTATATAAAATAAAAGAGACATAATAGTAAAAATTACAAAGAAAAGGCATTGTAAAAAATATATGGTTAAAGAAAAATACTAAAAAATTAATAATTTTTGAACAAATATATAGTCATTTTTTACTTTTTAGTTTGTTTATATCACTTTCACTATTAATTCTTATTAGCGTGGATCCATCTTCTTTACGCAACAATATTTTGCCGTATGAAGTCCAACAGTATTTATAACCGTATGTCGACGCAAATTCTCTTGCCAGGAAGAATAAACGCTTACTCTTGGATGTGAGACTTTCCGATATATAGATAGTTTATTTTGATTTTTTTGACGGTATGTTATCATCCTTTTTTCTTATTGAAGTTTTTATTGATTTTTGATATTTATTTTTTATTAAGGCATTTGAAAACTCTGCAATTATTGGTTTAATGGTTGTCTTGGAATTGACTCGAAACACATCCTTGATTTCTGACGGCTGGAACTGGACATTAATGGCTTTACCTAAGTTAATAATAATACCAGTCAAATCTTGCTTATTTTCGGATGCCTGTTTTGGTATATTTCTTATTTCTAAACTGGTTGATCGGGACTGGCGTTCCAAGTGTTCAACCTTTTCTTCTAGAATTTGTATATACTTCCGATCTTCTTTTCTCTCCTCCTCAAGATGGCAAATTCTTTGTATTACCTCATCGTATTTTTAGACATGAATTCCACGGACTCGTGTAATTTGTTGTTTTGCGATTTGATTTCGTCGACGTTAGAACTAATAGATGCAAGGTATAACCGTTGTTCTTCTTTAAATTCAGTTAACATTTTTATGAATTCCTTTTTAAATTCAATAAATTCTCATTGTTTTATACTTTCTTCCCTTTTCCTTTTAGGTCGGCTGGTTATTGTATAAGGTTCTGGCTCTTCAAGCTTTGTGCAGATGTCAGACGCAGAGTGATCCGAGTGCACAAGCGTCTTAGGCGGCGTACGATCGACAGGCATTGTTTTATAGTACCAGGGTCGCAGGAGGAAATAAATGCTTAGTAAAGTCTATATGGTAGCTCTGTTTGAGAAATATGACCACTATTAGCGTTTAATTATAACCGAATACGCCGTACTATACACGGTGTTTGGTAAACAATGTGT